GGAGAAACCACCGGGGTGGGGCAAAACCGGTCTCGTCGACGAAGCCATTCCACAGCAGAAACCGTGAAAATCTTCAGGCCGATTAATGTATTCGAGCTGAACTCTGGCCTTTTCCTAATCCGGGATTTAATGACGTCATGTAAGCCCTTTTCAGCCGCCCTTCCGTAACGAAATCCAATTTTCACCGGCTGCATGAAGCTTAAGCAGGTTTCAGAAGCGTTGCAATTCCCACTGATTTTCGAGTGGCGTTCCTGGCCTATTTATTTATTTATTAACAACCGTACTGAGTCCAGAGTACCACGATTAGTGGTAATCCGGATTGAGGACAGACCCAGAAATTTCTCGATAAATCTGAAACTTTGACCGAATAGGCATTGCAATATCCAACGGTGGTCTTTCTTCCAAGATCGACTCAGAGCTTCCAGAGAAATGGTCATCGCTCTCGGGGATAAAAAGGCAGACTCCAACCCAGTGGACTCGACCGTGGCCCTCACAGTGGACTCGGCCGTGGCCCTCCCAGTGGACTCGGCCTTGGCCCTCCCAGTGGACTCGGCCGTGGCCCTCCCAGTGGACTCGGCCGACGTTGTTCGCCTCCGCTGCCCGACCTCCACTCGCTCGGCATCTCTGATAGTTTAGTCGGTCGACGAAGTGGTGAGCGGATCGCTCTCAACTTCGATGACCAAGGGGAAAGAAGCGCATTGGCAGGCAGCAGAACCATTCCTGGAACCATTCCTGGAACCATCCTCGGACGGATCCCTGGAGAACGGAGACGCTCAATAAGGCCAGAAAGGACAAGAATCATAACGCGATGAAAGATAATAATGATGAAGGCGTCCTTTCTACGGTACCATCGTATAGAGTTCATGGAGCAGAGAGGAAGCATATTGGCAGGCAGAACATCCTGAAACCATCCGAATGTGAAACAGAGATGCTCAAGAAGGCAGAAATGAAGGACGCGAAACACGACATGTTGCTGGAAGATATCTGCGAGCATCGCGAGACGAAGGTGGAAAAGGGGAAGGGAGGGAAGGATGAGAGGTCAGAGGTCAGGAGTCAGCCGGTCCTATAACCGGTCGATGGGCGTGACCAGATGGTACCAGCTAGTACTATGTACCGACGGCTTCCCATTTTGCATTTAGCAGACTCTGTGATGGCGCGTTTAGCGGGATGGAATGAAATGCGATGAAAAATGCAAATGAAATGCGAATGGGCCTGCGAAAGAAAGGCCAACGAGTTTCTCAGGAGTCATCAGAGTCCAACGAAGTAAAAACAAAATCGTAATGACCAAATACCACATAAACAATAATAATAATAATAATAAGGAATATTATTATATATACTCACGAATTCGCAAGCGCCATTTTCCCTGCAAATGAGCCGAAAAGCTCCTCTGACTAAATGTCATACCGAGTCGTTCGCAACCAGGCGCTCCATGGAAATGGCACGGAGCGAAGAGGGAACCATGGGCTTCTTCCTGAAGTGAGGGTTCTCAAGCAAAGAAATCTCTCCCTTTAACCACTTGTATTCTTCCCTCGACGACTCCTTGACGACTCTTTGACGACTCTTTGACGACTCCTCGACGACTCCTTGACGACTCTTTGACGACTCCTTGAAGCTTTCTCGAGTCACGGAAAATACTTGAAAAAAGAACACTCCCCCCCCCCCCCCCCCCCAAAAAAAAAGATTCTAACAATTGTACTTCGTCTTCGACAAGCGCATTCGCGGACTATGTAAAATGTTCTATGTAATAAGAACAATACATAGAACGTTCTATGTAAAAAAGAACAATATTGCACTCATTTCTTTGTTCCTATAAAATAACTTTTTTCCTCAGTCATCTGCCTGTAATGATATTTCTTTGTGATTACATCGTGAGTTAACCGTGAGTTAACCGTGATTTCACCGTGATTTCACCGTGAGTTAACCGTGATTTCACCGTGATTTCACCGTGAGTTCACCGTGGTTTCACCATGAGTTAACCGTGATTTCACCGTGATTTCACCGTGATTGCACCGTGAGTTAACCGTGATTTCACTGTGATTTCATTTTTTTTTTTCAAAATGGACTTCCTCGTGCCCCCGTGTATTGAAATTCTCCTAGACCCAATTTACCATTTTACATTATTTACCATTTTAAATTCACCATTTATCAATTTACCAACGGGGGCAGGTCCTGCCTCTGTCAAAGTCCTTTCAGTCAATATAGTGTATTAAATTCAGTAAAGCGAATTTAAAGAAAAAATGAATTTGTTCGTCTGACCCGAGTAAATGAAGAAACTTCTCCGGTCATTCATTACCTCGATGTCGAAGAGTGGCAGGTGGCGCTGCTGTCGACCTCTGAGGGTGCCGGTTACCACGAGGGGGTGTCGGTTATAACGGGGGGGATGTCGGTTATCAGAGTTTTTTTTTTCTTTCCATGCGAAACCGCCGCGTGGGTTGCGGGCAAGTCTGTGAGCATGCAAATTTGGAGGAAATGGCTCGTGTTTTTTGCATGAAGAAGGATGGAGGTGGAAATGCATGAGAATCCGTGCAATTATGCGCTGCGAAATGGAAAAATATGCATAATCGATTTCGGAAAATATGTAGAAAATATGCACATTGAAAGGCATGAAGATGGTAATACAGTGTGTGCAAAGAGCGGGGCGGGGCGGGGCGGGGGAGGAATATGGAACAGGTTAAATTGCAATGCGCATATTGAGTGACTGACATTTTTTTTTGCATTCTGGTCCTCATGCGTGCTAAAATTTTCGCAATTTTTTTCCGCACCGACTCTTCGAATTCGCAATCTCCACGACTTAATTATAATTACTTGCTCCGAGTAAACCTGAAGCCTTGATAAGCATGCAAATTATTGACACGCATGAATGATGCATGAATGCGCAAGCTCTCATGAATTCCCCAGCATCGCATTACCTCCGATAAATAATTTAAATGAAAAAATTTAAATAAAAAAATGCCATAAATATTCAAATGATTCATTCAATCATTTAAATTTTCCTGATGCCGAAGTTGAAAACGTAAAAAAAAAAATCGAAATCTCTGCTCGAACCCGCCAGAATTAATTAATTAATTGCGTAATTTGGAAAATGAAATTCGAAATTGGAGAGTTTCGCGAAAGAGATTTCCTTCGAATCTTCTTTTCGCAGCCGAAAAAAAAAAAATTGGGGAAGCTTTTTGGGGAATTTCTAAAGGCGTCGTTTTTCCATGTTCTTCGGGGGAGCATCTTCCCATTAGGGCGGATGGATGGAATGATGGATGGAATGATGGATGAATGATGGAATGGTGGGAGCAGGGGGGGGGGAGTTGAATGTTCCTGAACTGCAAAAAAAGAGGTTCGTGCCAAAACCGAAGGGAAAAAAAATTTTGAATGAAGGAATTTTTAGCAATAAATACTGCAAAAGAATGAACGGACTTGGCTCGCGGTATTTCTCGGCAGAAACCAGTGCCAAATTGCCAAATCGCCAAATCGCCAGCGAAGCACCGCCCAGTTGATTCCGTCTCGGGCTTTTAATTCCGCGATTTGCGATTAATTAATCGCTTCCTTTTTTTCTGACTTAAAGTAATGTTTTCTTTCGTGAAATAAAAAAAGGGGAAAAAAAAGAGAGACATCTGAGATGGACGAATTCGGGCTCCTCCCTCGATGGCTCTGCTCCTCTCTCTATATGGCTCTGCTCCTCTCGACATGGCTCTGCTCCTCCCCAAAGAGGGAAGGAAAAATACTTTTCCTCTTATTTCGCGGCTTATTGGGGTTTCTTCCTTTTCTCCTTTTTTTCCCTCTCTTTTTTTCCCGCGGGGAACTCGGGCAACGGCGTTAATTAGGTGTCCTTCAATCAAGAGTCCTCTCGCCCATTACGCGTAATGACCCTTTCATTAAAAGTGCTGTCTGGATGATGCCATTAACATGCTTTCGCCGTCGAGCGCGGCTGATTGTGCGCAGGAAATGAAAGGATTCCGTGACTCTGGGAGATTCTCGTGTCGCGGTGACATTCGTCGCGGTGACGTTGTGCGATGTGACGGCTGCCTTTTTCCGGGATTGGACTCTGGGAGATTTTTTTTGCGGTTCACGAATGAATGAAGGCGACGGATGCATGAATGCACGCATACCCGGATAGCACGAGACAGGACTCAAATTGAAAGCGGTCTTGTGAAGAAGAAAATCACTGGGGGGGAAGGGGGAAAGGAGGGATGGGGAAAAGGGGAAAAGGGGAGATGGGGAAAAGGGGGGAAAGGGGGAAAGGGGGGAAAGGGGGGATTGGAGTCTATTTCCATTGTCTCTTTGATGAGGGACTTTCGATTCTGATGACTGTGCAATTTTTACACCCCAAAATTCCTTATCGATCTGGCCTTTCTCTATTCATCTTTCTTAAAGGGCCTTCCTTTAAGGAAAAGGTTCCCCTCATTCTTGTCCAGTTCTTCCCCGCCTTTTCAAAATGTCATTCGTCAGGGAATTAAAACTAATGAAAAGTGTTCTATTCGTTGTCATCAAATTCAGATTGCAAGAACTGCAAGAATACGCGGCAGCATTTCTTTTAGCTAAGCTTGGTAAAAAAAAAAAGATATATATATAATACGTAATTTAATGTGCTTTTATGACTGGTGTGTTCATTGCTAATCGCGTACCGTTAACTCTGAGCTCATGGGTTTCCGAGTTTCCGCACGGAATCCGAGTGGAATCGGGGGAACGGGACCTTTTGAGCCAGACTTGAAAAGGACTCGATGAAAGCCGGGCTCCATCGACCCCGTTGATCGCCTTTCATAATTTAGGAATCGACCGGGCCCTGGCTCAGCCAGATCGTTCTCATAGACCCGATCCCAAAATAAATATTGCCTCCATTGTCATCCATCCCAGACGGACCAAGCAAGCCCAAGATTCGCAATATTTTAAATTGTTGCAATTTTTTTTTCTTAATTTTTTCTTTTTTTTCTTAATTTTTTTTTCTTAAATTTTATTTTCTAAAATTTTTTTTTCTAAATTTTTTTTTCTAAATTTTTTTTTTTTCACAGGGACGGAGTACTGCCACACCGTCCACGTGATGGATTCCCTGGGCGAGAGCGTGCTCGTGAACAAGAAGTGCGCCGCTGCTGCCGAGTGCCTTCACGACAACGTCGGGTGCCTCCTCATCGATGGACAAACGGTGGGCCAATATTCTTTTTTTTTTCTAACTTACCGAAATTAATTTCGACCGTGGTCAGTTGAAGAATTTTCGCAAATTCGAGGCCGTTCAGAAGCGACTCCAGGAAAATATTAATGCAAAAAAAATTATAATAAATCTTATGGAAATTATTTCAGTAAAGTGAAGAAATTTGCAGTGAAATTCTCTCACTTCTCTCCCTTTTACATCAAATTCTTGAAATTTTCCCCAAAAGTCGAGATCATCATCGCAGGTGTCACTTGTCGAGTCACTCCAGGGTGCCCCTCCTGGATGCCATCCAAGGTGTCATCCAGGGTGCCACCCCTGGTGCCATCCAGGGTGCCCGATCGATGTGTCGGCGGGGCAGAGCATATATACAGCCTGATTTTTTCTTTCATTAGTGGCGAAGAGAATGCGATACCGTCATATTTTATTCGCGTCTATAGAAATGCAATGAGGCGGCTGGCTCCTCCTGGCTCCTCATGGCTCCTCAATCATGATCCTCTGGCTGCTCCTTATTCTTCGAACGAGGCAGAAAATCTTAACGAGTTGCTTTTATTTTTGGTTTCATATCATATGAAAAATAATGGGAGCAGTTGAGAAAATTTAAATGTCCAACGGGAACTGGTGCAAAGCCAACTGCTGCTGCGCTGATATCAGCGGAGACGCACGCGAATGCCCAAAAATCAGAGGGTGGCGCAAAAGTCGCACACCATTTGGGATTTCACTGATGCACTCTGTTCATTCTTGTTGCTCTTTTTCCAGATGACTGCAAAATTGTAGAAAGGTGAGGGATTAAAGATATATTAATAAATGGTGAAACATTATGCGTTCAGCGACGAAAGAGCGTTTGCATATTAATGGCCGTCTATTCGAACATTTGCTGTAATTTACCCCATGATGCGTGGCTTTTTGCGCCACCTGGTAGAGAAAAGTCGAATCTCGCAGGATTAACTTTCTTGAGACGCTCGGTACTTTATCGAGTACCGAATCTTGAACTCCTACTTTTCTGTTAAACAATCCCGAGACGCTGAAGAGCAAGTGCCAGGCAATCATGCAGCACGGCGTGCCAACAATTATCCGGCAACGGCAATCAACCGGCCTGGCACAAAGCATCCCATCACCAAGCATCCAGTCACGCAATGATGATAGCAATCGTACCTCTCCACTAATCTCGTTTGCTGCGTGCAGACCGGAACGTCTCCCTTTCCTTCAAAGTCATCTGCAAGTTTGTTCGCGGCTCCGCTGAATGGCCGGGCGAGCCACGACAGAATGCCATAACGCTCTGCTCCGCTAATTGCTCCCATCTATATACTGTACGAGATGTGGAGGGAGTTCTTTTTTCATATGAACTCCCTTGGGCGGAGGATGTTTGCCAAGCTTTCAGCGGCGTCGACACTCCTCGGTTTCGCCTCCGTCTTTCACTCGGTCTTGCCTCGGTCTTTCCTCTTTTTGGCCTCCCTCTTGCCTCCGTCTTGTCTCTCTTAATTTCTCTCCCCGGTCTGCTCTCGATCGCCGAGACGTCTGTCGCAACTTGCTGACCCGCCAATATCGCATAGCGAAATGAAGTGGATTCATTCCGTATCAATCTCGACGTCGATCATTACATCCAAAAAGAAATGAGGGGTTCCCCTACCCTCCCCCCCCCCCCCCCCCCCCCCCAGTGGGGGGGGGGGGGGAGGGGGTACCCTTGCCCCCATAAATATACAGCGACTCCAAAGTAAATAAATAAAATCCTATTTATTTTGGGGTGAAGGATTTTAAACCTGGAGCGTCTTTTCCGTCGATTCTAATCGTTTCTGCAATAATTTTGTTTCGTATGGAAAAATCTTCACCGAACGGTAAAATTGTAAAAGTATTGTAAAAGTGAGGAGGCTCTTCAGCTTTCATTCTTGAGACGAAAATGTTGAATTTTACTGAATTTTTTTTTTATCTTTACCCCTTGAGTCCAATAAATATAAAGTAAATTTAATTGAAGTAAATAAAACATAGAGAAAATTAGTAAATAATAGTGATAGTTCATTTCTCTTGGCAGATGTGCATATCCTGCTGCGACGAGCCTTACTGCAACGTGAGTGCACCGACGAATTTCAGCACAGCTATCCTGGTCTCGAACCGGCCCCACTCCGACCCCGTCGGCCACAACCCAGGTCACCACGGGGGTCAACCGGGGTCGCACAGCATGACCCCACCGAGGACGGTGTTGGATCCGATTTTGGCGCTCTTGTGCCTCGCCCTCGCCCTCTACCTCCTCCTTTCCCGGTGTAGGTAGTGCGTGAGACCTTATTTGCGAATTGCCAATTGCCAAATTTTGTTTTTGCTCAACTTTTGAGTGTGGGAGGCACTTTTAGCGATGTAGAGGGGGGTGTCGTCGATCGGTTTTGTGCTGCCATCCATCGTCTCGTCGCGCAAGTATTCGCGTCGAGGGAAAAACTACCGAATCGCGTTGAGTGAATGACGAAGATCCTCTTAAGTGGCCCTCTTAAGTGGTCCTCTTAGGCGGTCCTCTTAAGTGGCCAAGTCAGATCCCATCTGGGAGTTTGCTTCCACGTTTCGTTAATGGGCAAGTTTGCCTATCAATTAGGCGGGTCAGAGTTTAATGCGCCATCAATCTTGTTATGTCACCTGACTTTCAGGTTGCCATTCATTAAGCAGTTGATCAACGTTGGCGATCGACGTCGGCGATCGACGTCGGCGAGGAATCCATATATGAGGGCGATGTTGCAATGTTTCCGCCTGTGATGTTTTCTTCCCCCTCGTTTTCCTCTCATTCCCCCGTATGGCGTGCGATGTTCGCTTCGTTTTCCTCCAGATTTGTGCGGAAAAACCATTAGCAGAGAATAAAAGAGCTTGTTTGTGAAAGGCATTTCATCAAATGTTTCATCAAATATTTCATCAAATATTTAATGGATTCAAGGGTGAGTTTTCTTAGCCGAGCAAATTTTTTTTTTTCTAACCGATTTCACTTCGAGGTCAGAGCCGGTCGATAACGGACGTTCGATTCCTTTTTTTCTCCAGCGACTAATCTTCATTCTATTGCCCTCAATACCAATATGCCCTCAATAATAGAAGAGCGCAAATCTGACGCCCTTGACTGCCTCTGCGAGACGGCTCCGTCATCGGGAATAATCTCTTCTCATGAGCGGGATCGGCAGGGAATTGACCTTTTCCATTTCAATGTATGGTATGGTATGGTATGGTGTCATTCATGAAGCGACAGTTCATTTTTACTCGATTTACCGGACGAAAATGTTGCAGCGTTTCTGTAAAGGCGCGCTCCAAATCCTTGCTATTTCAGCTAAAGTCCAGGGTTTCCTTCTTAACTTCATTTTGGCAATAATGATAATTATAAGTGTAAATTGTATCGAGTTCCACGAATGTCAGCCTTGATAATTTTGCCTGGGGAGAATTCAAGCCCACGGAAAAAAAAAAACTTGACCTTCATTCATCATTAAACATGTGTTCATTAACCGATTCTTAACAATATTACTTCATAATGAGACGCGTTTGGCCCAGTTTCTCATAAGATCCGGTTGTAAGCCATTAAGCCATGCATGTGCTTTCTGGCTGATGTTCGTTTTTGGGCTAAAAATGCCCAAAAACGTTCTTACAGACGATGATCAGAAGAAAGGGAGGAAAGCAAACAAATTGTACTATGTATTATACAGTGAATTCAGCTTTATTGGGCCATTGGTTAACGGGGGCAGCCGGTTTATCAGGACATTTTGTCAGGAACGAAATCATTTCTATGTAAGTGCATAACAATTTCGCCTTATATTCGGGACGAAAATCCGCTTTATTGGGGCAAGCTCGGGGTCGAGGTCGGGGGGCAGCCGTCGGTCTGAGATGGGTTTTTCCGTTTCTTTTGCGGATTTGAACCGTCTGTCCGGGATTGGAGTCCACATCAGTTTTTCAAGATGTCGAAGCGCAAGGATTTGCACGTTGAAGAACATACGACTCGAATTCCTGCCCTCGATCGCGACCTCGATCGACCTCGATCGCCCAGCCGATGGACCAGAGTGGCATCGAGGATCATTACAGGAAGGAATTCGTGCAGATGGCTCTTGCAGATATCGAAGACAACCTGATCAGCCGGTCGTCTGTGGCCATCGACGTGAGTTCTCGGGTCGACGACTGTGTGAATATTGCACCGTGCTTCGCCGAATGCGATAACTTCGAAGACGATATAATCGAGGAAATCGTTGCCAAAAGGCAACGTTTGGGGGATGATGCAGACGAGGAGCCTGAGCCTTTACCGAAGGTGACACGCGTTGAGGCCAGGCGCTCGGTGGACATCCTTCAGCGCTATTGAGCGAGGATTGGGCGATGCAGCGCATGCTGATCTTGACACTTGGGCCGAAGAAGTCTTTAGAAAAGCTTTTTCAGACAGGAAACAAGGAACTATGGACAAATTTCTTGAATCATAACTCTTGTTTTTTTCGCAAATGAAGGGCATTCGTGTCTGGGCTTCTCATAATTCTTTACTATGAGGTAAATCTTGACACTTGGGCCGAAGAAGTCTTTAGAAAAGCTTTTTCAGACAGGAAACAAGGAACTATGGACAAATTTCTTGAATCATAACTCTTGTTTTTTTCGCAAATGAAGGGCATTCGTGTCTGGGCTTCTCATAATTCTTTACTATGAGGTAACTTCGTTTTATTGGGGCAGCCGCTTAATTGGGGCAAAACGACCTGGAACAAAAGTGTCCCAATAAAGCGGAATCCACTGCAAATATTTTTTGTATGGTGTCACGCACGATCGGCGCGACTGCTCACGAAGCGCATTACGCAACGTCTTTACCTACTCCCTGATATAAGCAACAATTCTGCTTGCAAAATGCCAAGTGCCTGCAATAGGAAAAAATAAAAGATTGCACGCTTCGATCGATAGCCATGTTAATTTCATTTCTTTGAAAACTTGCGACAATTTTGCCGAAACGCACGGGAAAGAAAACCCTGGAGATGGGTTTCGATACCGATGGATTTTTCGCTCAATTTCGTCAGGTCGACTAAAAAATCGTTCGGCGAAGGTGGCGAAGGTCAGCCGGACTGAGAAAGGTCGGTTGACCTTTACTCAATTGCCAACGTCGTAAAATATTAATCGATGTTGCCGGTTTCGAGAAATGCATGGACCAAGGAGACGCTTTCGCTCGTTTCATAAAATACGCTCGTATGCAGTTTTTTTTGCAAGCATTCGGCAAGAAAAATTTGCGCGATACTCGCAATTAGTAGTTCCGTTTATTCTGCATAACGTATTGATTCTTATGAATAAGAACATGGAGATCTCGCAGGTCTTTATTTTCCCTGGCATCAATAACTTAGGCAATAAATAAATAAATATAGCAAATAAATAAAAATGGAAAAAAAAGACAAGTTAGAGCTGATTCCGGCCGAGAATGATGGCGGATTCCACCGGTTTGCATTCCTCGCTGATGTCGATGAGATAATCGGGATTGAGAGCGACCTCTCTCATCCGTCTTTTGGCCTGCAGAACGTATCGGGTCTCCAGCTGCGGCCTGCGACTCAGCAGGTATAGGATCTCTGCAAAAAAAAATAAATAAAAAATAAAATAAATAAAAAAGGGATGCATTTGATGCATTGCCCAATTAAATCGCTCAACGGTACTGAAATGGTACTGATTAGGTGTGTCGATTGAAGTGGCAATTTATTCTTGCCTTGCTGAAACGCGACGTTGGCGCGACGAATTGCTAAAAATGTTACGCTTGAAGTGCTCATGCATTTTCTCGCAATGGCACGTGAAGCTTGTGCTAAAATTTTTCCGTGGCGCCAACGCGGGCGTGACTTCATGCGTCTCTTCCTCGCTTTTGGGAGGGGCGTGCCAAGGGGAATTATGCAAAAATATATATCAAAAATTGGACAAGGGCAATAAATAACTTTCGCACTTGAAAAATACATTGAACGGAATTTTCTCTGGGCAACCTCCAGGGCAACCTCCTGGGCAACTTCCTGGGCAACCTCCATGGAGAAAATATTGGCCATTGTAACTTCTCAATTTTTTTCCAATTCGAGCGTGCCTTTTTCAGCAGAGCAAAAAAGTCCTGCCAGATTTATGCGTTTCCTTCATTCTCTGTGTGATAATATTAGCGTAATATCACATGACACATACCTTATAAATTACCTTATAACTTTTATAGCCTCCGTGTTTAATTGCGTCTTATTTGCATGTTATTTACACTCCCGTTTCTCTGCTCCGAATCTCCGTGCAAACTCTCCCTACTCCAAATTAAT